AACCATTAATGTGACCTTCAAGAGATGGTAAGGATGAGTGACACCTAAATCTTGAGTAGAGTTAGTAGGGTTGGGGTGTGTCCCTAAGTTGGTGGTTTCCAACCTTTTTGTATTGGTAGAGTTCTCCTGAAGTACTCTTGATATAACTCAGGAGTTTAAGATGGTGCTTAGTATAAGTGTTACAGCTTGGATGGAAAGGTTTCCTGGCAGCCAGGATAGACAAGGAATACCATAAAGTCACATGGTACAACAAATGTCACATGGGATTTATTGGGAAGGAAAAACCAGGAGGCCAAGAAACAACAGCAAACTGAACTGGATACAAGGGTTATATAGAGTTTCTTGGGAAGGGGGTGGAACTTTTCAGGGTGAAGCTTTCCAGGGTGAGAATTTGTCAGATTTCAATTCCTGAGCTTGGACTTTTTTACTCTGTAGAGTGTGTGTGTGTGTCGGGGGGGGGCAGGGCTAATCAGTTAGGGCAGTTAGAGTATTCTGTGAGTGGAACTTGGCAGTTAGAAATCCTTAAGGAAGGGGTCTGGCCACTCATGTGGCTTGAGGGGCTTACATTTAGTGTCTCAGGATCTTTAGGCTTCAGGCACTTTGCCTTAATAAGGCACTTTACCTTATGGTCTAGCACAGTGGTTCTCAACTTGTGGGTCATGATTCCTTGGAGGTTCATTGGAAAACACAGATGTTTACATTACAATTCAGAACAGTAGCAAAATTACAGCTATGACATAGCAACGAAAACAATTTTATAGTTGGGGGTCACCACAACATGAGGAACTAAAGGGTCACAGTATTAGAAAGGCTGAGAACTACTGTTCTCATAGTTATGAAAGCATTCACTTATCCAATGATTCACTGGGGTTCTTTTCAATGTTCTGATCCTGATGAGTAGAACTATTAATTACTCTGACCTCCAGGACAAACTCCCATGGTTCACTGAACATGTCATCTTTGGAACTCATTACCTATGTCAGGAAGAATCCATTCTGAGTCGAGTTGCGCAATGCAACCACTCAAGGGGTCACAGGACTATCACTGCTCTGATTAGTTGCAACAGAAGTCTAGAACACACCAGTAGATGGAAGACTGGCTTGTGAAGCTTGGGGGGACATAGGTTGGGAATGGGTCTCCGACTTGTGGCAGTAGTGAGGTTGACAGCTCTTGTCAGCCTCTGCTCATGGAGCATATAACACAGGGCTGCATGGTGGGGTGACACCTTTTATGTTTCTGCAGAACAAAAGTTTGCTAAATGATTGAGGTATTCATGGTAGTCTCGTGGTCAGTGGGTATTTCCTTTGCTTCTGTTTCCAGAAATCTTTGGGTGATTTACAATTCATCCATTCATCTTCTCAAGTTCCATTATAAAATGAAAAAGCATCTAGGTGAGGAATGCTTTGGGTCATCACCATGGTGCTTCCTGGAGCAGCCTGAGAAGTTTCTTACAGAGATACCTAGTAAAATTAGTTTTCCCCAGTGGAATCTTACTGGGTATATTAACCACACTTTAGGGTAAGCCAAAGAGTAGTTAGCAATTGCAAAATAAATTCAATGATTTTTTCTAACCTTTTTGTATCCTTTGGTCTTTTAAAAAATTTTTTGTTCTTATAGATCTTTTGTTTGTATATTTTAATTTCTGTTTTTGTGGGTATTCTTTATGTGCATTTCATATTTTTATCTTTTGTTTTCAGAGGAATAGAGTTGGGTGCATGGGGATGTGAGGAGGATCTGGGAAGACTTGGAGGAGGGGAGAAAACATCATCATAATATATTGAATGAAAGCTAATTTTTGAATAAAATATTATGTAAAAAGGATTTTTTTGTATTTTGAATATACTTTTGGCATACTTATTCATTTTATAATTTGATTTTTGAGATAGGCTGTAAGTAGCCCAGGCTGGCTTCAAATTCCATGTGAAGCCAAGGCTAGCCTGGAACTCTTCATCTTTCAGATTCTACCTCCTGAGCCCCTGGGTTACAGGTGTCTACCACCGTGACTAGATCCTGTCTTTTGGGTTCCTGAAATGAGGTTTTATTTTGTGGTCCTGGCTGGTCAGGAGCTCACTCTATAACCTAGGCTGGCCTTGAACACGAGGCAGACTCTCAGTGCTCATGCTGCAGGCATATGCCGCTGTTCCTGGAAGGTATAATCATTTTTATGTAAAGAACTTTACTTCAGTAAAAAAGATAATTAGGTGGCTTCTGAGGTTCAAGATAGGCTGAAGAGACACTACAGATCAAAAAGGCCAAAGGAATACTTGTCATGTGTCGGTCTCAAGGAAGTCAAGACATGTTTGACTTTAAATATGGTTCTTGTTTGTAGTCCAGGCTGCTTTTGAACTCACATGTATATGAGGTTGATTTTGAACTCCTAATTCTCCTACAGTCCAAACCTCCAGCATGCTGGGTTTTGATGAGTCTTAACAAGTCTCATCTAGCAAGGTTGCAGGGTTCCTATCTCTTCCTGTGTCCCCTTAATTCTTTCTCTCTGAGTTGAGCACTCTTGTGATTCCAGCAACAGGGAACTACAGCAGGAGGATTGTCTCATGATCAGTGTGGGCTACACAGCCAGAACCTGTCTTAACATCTTTTAGAAACCTCTCCATTCCCAATTCCACCCCTATAGTCTTATCTTTCTATCCTGCTTCAAGGTAAGGGAGACTTTGTTGGTGGTGACCATTATTTAGAAGAGTCCTGTGATTTAGAAAGCTTTGCAGTCATGGTTTCACGCCAAAGCCTAATTTGAGGTAAGATAATGCATGGAATTTAAAAAAAGTGTGTGTGCTTATGCACCTGTGCTCCTGTGCATACACAGGAGCTGGTGTTTCGTATGTGTTTGCATACCAATTAGACAATATATTGCTGTTGATGCCCTCACACATACGCTCTCAAGGCTGTGGTCTTCAGTGAGTAATGACTAGCTGTATGTAGTGGAATGAGTCTGCAGTGATTACTGTTCTCTGGGGGACTCTCGTTCACCTTTCTGACAGAACTGTCATTTCTCTTCTGCTTCCTCATGAAAGGGTCCTTCCTCTTGATCACTTCTCCGGGTTGCCTTCAAACACACCCAAGATTCACTCCTCTCTAGGCTCATTATGGAGGGATGAAAATGTCGACTGACTGTCATGCTAACGAGCCACCCCTTGACTGAATCTGCAGAGCACTGAATGCCTGGATCTGAGAGAGGCAGGCCGCACTAATTTCTGTGAAGTACAGCCCTGCTGGATACTCCTGCTTTAAATCTGTGGACTTGAGCTCCTGAACGCATGAGACTGGCTGGACTGAGACTCCCTGATGACAAAGGTCACAGACACATGGGGGACAGGCATATCAAAAGCAGTCTTGGAGAAGAGCTTTAAAAGGAGCCTCACTAAATATGCAATTATTACAGGACCCAGGTACTGGCTCATGGGCATTTACCACAGAAATGGGAGGACTCAAGCACCAGTTCAAATGTTGAAAGGATCCTAAGCCTGAAAGCAACCCAGAAGTCCTTCCACAGGTCAATGGCTAACCTGACTGCCATTCATTCACAAGATAGAGTAATATTACTAGGCCATTAAAAAGAACAAGCTGTTGGCACATGCAACCACTTGGGCTAACCTCTATGGACTAGCAGCACTCCTTTAAGAAGGACTAAAGAGCAAACCAAGGGCCTCCGTGCCTGGCAGGCAAGCAACTCCGCCACTGAGTTACATGTAGTCCCAGCCCTGAAAATGAGCAGTCTCAAAAGGTCACATGTGATTCCATTTATAATAAGAAGATAGATATCATCTCATAGAAACTGAAAATAGGGCTGCAGGAGGGAGTGTGGGAGGAAAGTTGGTTGTAGCTTCACGAGGGCATGGGAGGATTGGATGCTGGAAATAGTCCACATCACAATAACTATCAATATCCCTGCTGTGACACAGCGCTCTACAGTTTCTAAAGACCTTCTCACCGGGAGGAAACGGAATAAAAAGCACGGGGGAATCATCTGTGTAATTTTTTACTTACAACCGAGTGTAAATCTGCAATTTTCTCAAAATACAGACTGCAATTAGCTTTGTAAAGGTTGATCTTCATAGAGTCAGTCCTGGTCCTGAAGCAACGGTTCAGTACCATACAGGTTCAAGTTGGTATAAAATCGTCTCTGACTTAACCTTGTGTCATCTTGGAAACAAGCCCTTCCCTCAGTTTTGGGTGTGAGCAATAGATTCACTTCCTCCAAGGCCCGGGAGGGTTTTTCTTGTTCTTGTTTTGTTCGAGGAAGGGTTTCCAGCTCAGATAGTTGAGGATGACTTTGGTCTTCTTCTGCTCCCACTGCCCCTATCTCCTTAGTGCTGGGGTTGCAGACATGTGCCACCATGCAGGGTTTTAATGAGGTACTGGGGGTTAAACCCAGGGTCTCAGGAGTGCGACGCAAGCACGCAGCTACATCCTGAGTCCTGCTGACGTTATTTTTAGCACAGCAATATCAAGTTGATGACTCTCCACAAGAGGCTTTCCTCAGCAGAGGGCACATCTCTGTGAGACTGCGGGATGTCCTCTCCTGTACTGTCTCACACCCCATCCTCCTTCCCAGGAGTCATGATCCCTGCCTGGCAGAAGGCAGCCAGGGCCTGCAAGACTCTGAATCCTGGAAGCCAGAGAAGGGTGACTGAAGGGTGCGGCTGTCTCCTCCCCCTCCTTCTCTCCCCTCCCACAACCACGTGCAGCCTGGGGTGGGAGGCTAGGTCAGGGCTGGGGGAGGGGTGGAACATTAGGTCAGCAGCATCAAGCCTGGCTGGGGTTGGCTTTGCTCAGGCCAGAGCTGTCAACTCTGCCCTTTAAAAAAAATGAGCAACAAAAGGGAAAAGGAAAGAAAAGAGAAGGGGCGGGGGTGGCCCAGACAGGGTGGGCGTGCGGGGCGGGGTGGGAGGGGTCAGAGCGGAGGAACAGGTGGGGGACTGCTTAAACAGAAGGCCCAACTCAGCCCTTTCCTTTCATGGAGGTTCTAAAGCTCTGTTTTAGTTCCGCAGGAGTGTAGGAGTGAGGCTGGGAGGGGAGGAGAGCAGGCAGCCACTGGACTTCAGACACCCCTCTTCCTGGGGTCAGGGTTAGGGGCCTCCATGGATTTCTGGGTTCTGGTTTCTTAACTGCCGGACTTCGATAGGGAACATTGGGATTGAAGAGGTTGGGGACAGTGTCCATGAGTTGTATCTGGTACCTCTACCCCCATCTGTGAAATGATGGCGTGTTATTCTAGAAAGTGTGCGGGTGAAAAGAAAAACACGGCAAGGGCCCGAGGAGAAGGAGGATGAATGCCCACACCTCCTGGGTTTGTTACTATAATGCACTTTGATCTTTCCAGAATCGAGTTTTTAGTTCCCAAGTTATGCTCACAGACTGGGCAGAACTTGGGGTTGCAACAGTCTCCTGGCAAACCATACCCACAAGAAAACCTCTGGATGGTTCCTCCTTATATGTGGTGTTGGGAGCTCTCAGAAAAGAATAAAAGAAAAAAAAGTTCCACCATGAGGGTTGTCTGTGTGCAGGATAGGGCGGGGCTCTCCTGGTGAGGGGTGGAGAGGTTTAAGTCATTGTAATGAAAGCTAATGGTTTCAAACATTTAGCCATCCTGGGCCCCAGTCAGTATCTATGAATCAATGAAGCAGTTATAGGATTTGATGGATTTTTTTCCCCCAGGGAGTCTGGCTCCATCAAGTTTAGAACAGTTTTGGTCTAGAAGGCAAAGCTGTGTTTAAATCAGGGAGGAAACAGCTGTCACGAATTTGCTAGCTTGCTCCAACCTAGCACAGCCTGCTAGGCTGCCTCAGGCTTCTCTTCTGGGAGTTGGTCTACAGGTTGCTGCTCTGTGTTGTGCTTCTGCTCTGCCTGCTCCCCTCTCCCTAACTGCTGCTTCTGCATCCTCCCTCCTGCTGCCTCTGCCTGAGCTTGTCTGGTGTCAGGGGTCAGGGTGCCTTGCATCCCCTGTGCACAGAACCCAGGGCACAGGCAAGTGTAGATGCTTGTTAATAAATGTCTTCTGACTTAATGCATGGAAAGGGAGTGGAGGGTCGGAGCCGAGCAGCAATATTTCACCTGGTTGTTTTGCTGAATGTCAGTCCAGAGTCAAAAGACAAAGTGCTTGTGATTTTCCATATTTGGCTAGATTTGTAATCCATGCAGAGAAAGAAATGTTCGGACACGTGGGTGTATTGGTACTAACACCTATTCTAATCACTCTATCTTAGCAACAGACACGGGGCACAGGGGCCGCTTAATCAGCCCTCTGGTGACTCAGCCAAGCAGCTTCTCTCTTCTGTTTTTTTGAAGATGGAAGGCTGGGTGAAATGGCAGTTCATCTCTGTTTTATCCCTCTCTACTGAGCTACCAATTGTTACTTTATTATATGAGATTCATATTGTGGAACATTTGTGATCTGAGTCTTTTTAAGGATAGTGTTCTATATCCCAAAGCTATAAAATCAGAAGCTTTGGTCTGGAGAGATAGACCACTGAGTGGTAGAACATTTACCCAGCACGCAGGAGACCCTACTTTCAACCCCCCAGTAACACACACAAACACACATGCATACACCTTAGCATTCACTGAAGCATGAGATACCTCGTGCTTACCCTATAGCATTTATTTAATTCAAGAAGAAAACAATCATAACAACGGCTACTTCGTCTTTGAAACTACTATATACACAGTCTTCTTCACCCTTACCAAACCTGTATGTACTATACTGTAAGATAAGGATAGCTGTGGCCCATTTTCAATATGAGGTGTGATTACTGTTTATCAGAGTAACAGGAGGGGCCCAGCTGACTGCTGGCGCCTGCTTATCTCAGACATTGAGAAGTAGAAAGTTTCAGGGTGTCTGTTATTTAACTGAGCCCAAGATGGGAAAGCGACTTGAGAATTTAAAAAAAAAATAGGAAAAAACAACAACAATGACAACAAAACCTGTGTCATTGTGGCACATACCTTTTATCTCAGCACTTGGAAGGCAAGAGACAAATGGATGTATGCAATTTCAAGACTAACCTAGGCTGCCTAAGTTTCAGGACAGCCAGAAGGAATGCATGCGGTGAGACCCCCATCTCAAAAATAAAAACAAAAATCGCCATTGTCTTCTAATAGACCGGGTTTGTCTTGCGTTTGGCTTTTCTCTATGTGTGCATCCCTTTTTGGTAGAACTGCATACTAAAAACTGGTTTGTTTCCACTAACCTTCTAAATTTGTTATTGACTTTCCCCAAAATATATTACCATTTCAAACATAACGCCAGTGGATTGGTTAATTAACTATATTCAGGGTCAGGAAAGTTGATGGCTGAGTTGGGATTTGAGCCCAGGTCTAGCTCACTCGAGACCGTTGTCCTTGTTACTCAGTGATGCTTCCTGAACACAAAAGTGTCCTGTCCCTTTTAGTTTGATGGCTTGCTTTCGGCTTGTTTTCTCCTCTGCCTTTTGACATCTAAGGATGAACCTCTATGGCTAGGCTGATGTGACAGCCAGGTAAAATGCACAAAGACAGAGACAAGAGTTAAGAGTTACAACAGATACAATTTTATTTAATTAAAACTTACACTTTAGAGCAGGACTCCTTCGACTTTTTCCACTCATAACTCCCTTTAGGTCAAGAAACTCACATAATTCGGACATGCAGAAATAGGGTTTCTTTTGTGTCTTGGTTCTGTTTCATCCCTCCAATTATCCAGTGGCTTCAGAGGAAGAGGAACGGCTCTGAGGTAACTGGCCAGTTTCCTCAGGTTCCTGCAGAGTCAGTGGTCATGGCTACTTTTCTCATTCAGTGCAGTTAGCAAGAGGAAGCACCTTCTCCTTAGTCGTTTCTGCCCAGCACAGGTACAGCTTATTGTCTTCTACTTAACTAACTAATTAATTTAACAATAATTATTAATCAGCCTGCTTATTATTAGCTCCGGAAGTAGAAATACAGCTGCTGCGTCACAAATGTCGTTTGTATATTTTCCCCCATACTTTTTTTGTGTTTTGTTTTCCTTTGTTGCCGAGTGGCAGTTTCAAGAGGTAGCTTCTCTGTGTCAGGTGTTTTCTTACAGCCGGCAGCTGGAGAGTGCACCTGAAAATGGAGTCACATTAACCAACATGGATTCAAAGCTGAGCTGGAATGGGGGCGTTAGATTGCTGAAGCCTGAGCCTGAGGTGGGTGTTGTCGCTCATGCCTTTCCTGGGAGTTAAAGCAGGTTATTGAGCTAGCCAGAGGCAGATGCACTCACCAGTGGAGGGAATCCACAGCTCACCTGTTCTCATGAGACATCTTGAGACACTGGCTCTGGAACTCACACCCCATGGCGGGAGCTTCAATGAGGCCATGCTTTGTACCCCCAGTGCTTGTCCTAGCGATGGAAGGCACTATGGCAGAGTGCTGTTTCTCCTAGTTGAGACAATTTCAGATACATCTCTCTGCACCTGGATTGCTCTGGGCTTAGGCCTCATTCCACACACTAGAGTCACTTCCTCTGTCTTTGCCTGTCCTAACCTTTCCCTCTTTACAAATGGTTTGACGGGTGGGGAGGCAGTGAGCACATCTGTGTGGTCATTCTGTCTGGAATACGCCTGACTGGGGAAAGTGGCCATAGAGTGTAGCACTTTGTCTCTCCTCACTGATGTTGTCTTTGCAGACTCTACCTAGTCCTGTCTCTATTTTTTCTCCACAGGTTTTGAACTCTTGAGTATGCCTCATGTGTGCACAGAGGTGAGTCTCCAGAAGCCAGCACAACCTTCCAGTGCCCATCTTGGCTCCCTGCTATTGTGCCTCAGACTTCATAAATGCTCAAGAGGCAGCTATATTTTTCCATGGCAAGGCCTGGTTGCTCCATAGGTTAGGGGACTCTCAGAAGAATTCTTGAGAAGCCTCAGAGGGCTGTATGGGTCTGGGGATTAGGACTCCTCACCATGGGAGCCTTTGGTATAGAGACCCGTAGTAGACATGGACAGGGCAAAGGTGTGGCAGGTAAGGAGAATGTCACAGACAGATACTCAACTCTACCTCTCAAAGCTACCGAGTTATGCTTGGTACTAAGGCTTCATCTCAGGAGTTCTCAGTCCTCAGAGCTCAAAGACAATGGGGTGGAGAATGAATGGAGGGGGAGATGGTCATTAAGTCTGGTGGCACCAGAATTGCCTCTATCTCAGGGTCCTTGTATGCTTCTGGATAACCTGCAAAGCCATCAGTCAAGTACTTTGGAATATTTGAGGAGGAAAATCTTATTTAGAGAAATAGGAGCAGTTTAACTTTACCGCTCCCTCATAAGATACACAAAGTGAGGAAGAGCCTGCAGACAGCCATAGGCACCTTGTACCTAGCCTTCAGCTCTCAGCTCTGGGGTGCCCGCTTTGTCTGGGGGGTAGCTTCAGTTCTTGCCCAAACGCTTTTGGGAAACAACAGAGGTGATGCCGCCTTTAGAGTTATGGAGAGTTCTAGATGGCACTGCAGACACAGGAGTGAGTGCAGAGGGGAGGATAGGGGAGTCTAAAAATAGCCTGCAGGGAGGGCTCCAGGGGCCATCACCCCTGTTTTCCCTGTCTGTGTTGGACAGAGCAGCTGAGTGCAGTCACCCTCATGGAACAGGAGCAAAGATGCTGTGTGGTGGACTGGGAAAGGGTCCAGAGAAGGGACCCAGAGGTGATGCAACAGCTGCAAACTAAGGCTGGAGGCCAGGCCTGTGAGGGGGCTCCGTGAGGGAAGAGCTCTCGATAATGGTGGCGCCAAAGCACCCTCTGTGGTTGTTCTCTGATCCTGCAAAGGACAGAGTGAAGGTTGCACTGTGGTTTTTCTCTTGATACGAGACAACGGCTTCCTGCAGGCCAGCCTCCCACAATGGAGACCTAGGCTGCTGATGACTGGGACACTGGTCCTGGGTGGATCTGAGGGAGGAAGACTGACAGCCACTGCTGCACACAGATCCCAAAGCCATCAGAACCCGGAAGAATTACTCATGAGTGGCCCGTTTCAGACAGCTGGCACCGGCGACTGTTGGAACAGGTGGAGGCCTGCCTCGTTTCCATCCATCAACCACTGTTACACTGGGTTATAGAAGAAGGAAGGGAGACAAGTCGGGTGATTAGTAAAGTCCTTCTGTAGGGGAAAGGACCAATTCTATCCATGGAATCAGCAGCTTTACATGGGTGGTCATGTTTCGGGTTATTCCTCCAGTTTTAGGGATTAATAGCCAAAGGTAAAATGAGATTAATCAACTGGCCACACTGGCATGTTCTTTAGCATTTAGTTTGTTAGGACTTAAATATGGGTATGTCTAATTCCTCATAGTTAGAGGAAGGGGATGTGAAGAATGATAGTCTAGCTCCTCATAGTTGGAGATGTAAGAAATTATAGTTAGCTGTTTCATCTATCTATCTATCTATCTATCTATCTATCTATCTATCCAACTATCTATCATCTATCTGTCTATCTATCTATCTATCTATCTATCTATCTATCTATCTATCATCTCCCCCCCTCTCATTTATCTGCTATTTTATTTGTCTCCTATGCTCAGACAGCATCCTCAGGTCACTGTCCTGGGCAGTTTTTGTCAACTTGACACAAGCTAGAGTTAAGTTGGGAAAAGGACCCTTGACTGAGAAACCGTCTCCATCAGATTGCTTGTAGGTAAGTCTGTAGGATATTTTCTTGACTAATGATTGACATAGGAGGTGGTCATGCCATCCCTGGGCATGTGGTCCTGGGTAGTGTAAGAAAACAAGCTGAGCAAGCCATGAGGAGCAAGTCAGTGAGCAGCACTCCTCCACATCCTCTGTTTCAGTCCCTTCCTTGAATTCCTGCCTTGGCTTCCCTTTAAGATGAACTGTAACCTGAAAGCCAAATAAACCTCTTCTTCTCCAAGTTGCCTTTGGTCAGTGTTTTATCACAATAAAAGACACCAAACTAGGACACTCACACTGATCACCGACTCTTGGGGTCCCTAAGTTCAGAGAAAGTCAGTGGAGGGGTTGACTCTGCCCATGGCTTAGCTTTGGAGCATCCCTATAGTCTTTCCTTGTCTTAGAACAGAACGATGCATCACCAAACCCAGGTTTTAGCTGGGTACCTGGTTGCCCTGGCCTGGAATCTGAACCGATCCACTCTCTATGGGTGAATTAGTGAAACAATTCATCTTGGACAGGGAACACCCTTAACAAGTCTGTGAATGGGCTCAGAGGAGTATAGGGCTCAGGGGAGCTGCACACTGTGGGAAGCTGAGGAGAGATGAGACACTGGCCTCCTCTTGTCTCACTGCCTGCCTCCCCCTCCCCCAGCCCTCTCTGCTTGGGAACCTGCTGGGATGCTGGTCTCTGTTCCCCACCTGCTGAACGGTGGGAATTTGTTTTGGTGGTAGATTATATTTTCTCCAAGAGGGTTTGAATTACCTCTACCTCCTTTCATTTAATTAGGTGGAGGCTGGTGTCTATTGTGTCCAGTGGGCCTTCCTGCATGAATAAATAATAACATGTTTGTTTTCTTTTGGGTGGGGTTCATTTTTAAAACGGTGGGTTGGCCAAAAGTAGAGCGAGCATGGGGGAGATTATGAAATCATTGGGTAAGAGGTAGAGGCAAAGTTTTACACCCTTCCCTCACCCCCTCACCCGGAGTAGCTCTTTTCCCTATTTCTTCTTGGCCCTAGTTTTGTTCAATGTATTCAGAACCTCCTCTGTTCTCACTCCTCTCTGGCTGGCTAGGTGTGCATTCTCTCTCTCTCTCTCTCTCTCTCTCTCTCTCTCTCTCTCTCTCTCTCTCTCTCTCTCTCTCAAGCCCTGCTCACTTTGCTCTTACTATGTTACTGTGACAAGCATGTCAAAGGACAACTCCCAGGAGTTAGTTGGCTCCTTCCACTGTGTCTGAATAGAGCCCAGGTTGTCAGGCTTGACAGTGAGCAAGTTCCCTTCATCCAGTGGTTCATCTCACTGGCCTTATTTATATTGAATTTTTATAGCATATTTTTGCTGCCTTTTGTCAATTTTAACTATTATGAATGTCTATTAGTTCTTGCAAGAAAGGCTGCTTTATAAGATGAAAATGTGAGACTTGAAAATATAATGTGAGCAGTACATGCTTAATCACTAGCTGGCTTGAGAGCTGGCTTGGAGGATTTGGATTTACATTTTAGTTCAGACAAACAACCAGTGTACAATTGTTGGCAACTGACTTTGTCTTTTTAAACTTCAGTTTCCTCACCTGTGAAATGGGATAGGAACAGTTGCCACTGTATGAGACACACAAGCTTACACTTTGCTGAGAAGACAGTTGGTTAAGACTGTCACTAAATGGACTTGCTTTAACATCTGCTTGAATTGCAGATTCTGCAGGCCATCAAGGGTAATTTTAAGGGCAAATGTTCCAATCTCTGTTTAGAAAGTGACAGAGCTTCCGAGAACAGCCCTGCGTCTGAGGTGGGTGGGAAAGTCCACTGAGGAGCCTCCTAGAAGCTGAGTGACAGAGAGAATTGGTGAGACTGCCAGTGAGGTCACTCTGCTCCGGGGCATCCCCAAGGGCCAATTGAGCAGAGGAATCATGGGAAATGCAGGTGAGGCCATTGGGAGCAGTCAGGCTGGAGATGTGTCCTCTCCACAGTGATGAACAGTGATAAAGAGGCTGATACCCTGAAGGCCACAGCAGGCACTTCAAGAGTTTGCCCCACAAGCAGAGTGAAGCTCAAAGATGGGGCTAAAGGAATGTCTGAAGTTTCTAGCATTGTCACAAATGGCCTGCAAATTCAGAGCTACAAAACCACTATTTGTCGAGATCACAAGTTCCGTGTGTCAGGGACTTGCTAGGGTGTGCCTGCAGTGGCTTGTCTCTGTGCCCCTCCCCCCATCCCCTAGGATCTCAGTGGCTGTGTTTGGACTCCTCCTCTGGAGCTGTCTTCTTCTGTGTTAACATGCAGCTCCGGCAGGCAGCTAGCTGAGTCTTTGCCTGGGTCTATCAGACTCCCCACCACCCCGCACTGGAGTTTTCCAGGCACTGTGGTTCCTCACAGCATGGTGGATGGGCTCTAAGGGTGAGCCACTCAAGGCCTGACAGGGGACTAGAAAGCATTTCCTCAGAGACTTCTAGGAGTCTGGCAGCAGCTTATCTGCAGACCCTTTCATCAAAGCAATTACAAGGTCTTGTCTGAGTGGAAGGTTAGAGAATCATTGAGTTCATGCCTCAGTGGAGGAACGGTGGGGTCAGAGACACTGGGAGCATCTTTGCAAAATGCAGTCTGCTGCAAAGAAGGGCATGGGAAAAGCCAGAGGCTGCAAACGAGCAAGTGTTTGCTAGAATTTGCTGGGTGTCAAGACTCCAGGATAGAGCCAGGAGGTGGTGGTGCTTGCCTTTAATCCCAGCGCTTGATGGGAGACAGAGGCAGGCGGATCTCTGTGAGTTCGAGGCTAGCCTGGTCTGCAAAACTACACAAAGAAACCCTGTCTTGAATTTCCCCACCCCCCAAAAAGACTCAAGGATAGGGATGGGAATACAGTGATGTGCAAAACCAGACCTATTTGGATCTCCTAGAGGTGACCAGTGGAAGAGCAGACTTGTCAAACATGCCGTGTAGAAGCTGCTGTGGTAGGTTCTCGGGAGGAACATGGGACTGTGTATCTTGTAACAGACCCTTGATTTTATAGTCAGAGAAGGGAGGAAACCTTCCCTGAGGATGTCTGAGGTGAGAATAAAGGAGGGTAGAAGGAGGGTTATCAGCATCAGGGGAAGAAGGCAGGCTTTCCACACTCATGTGCCAGCAACAGGATGGAGTCATATGGAATGATTGTGTAGTCCCGGGTAGAGAGCAGCATGACTACAGAGCTCAGTGGCTCTAGACCATCATTAACCAGACCCCTCCTTTCTCTAGTGCCTGAAACATCAGGTTGACCATACTTTCCCCTGCAAAAATTCATAGCCTCCCATTACACAAATGAAGATGGATCCAGCTGTAAACTGGGATTCACTGGTTCAGTATCAGTAGAAGCTACTCTGCAGCAATCTGGAAGCTAGTCTTGGGATCCAAAGGACATATCTACTTTATTACTTCTCCTTTCTGGACTTGAGAGGAATCAAAGAAAGAATTTAAGTCCTTCGTCACTATGGAACTCAAACTGAGAATATTTATAGCTAGGGCAGTCCATCTTGACCGAGTTGGTCCCAGAAGTACAAAGATATTTTGGTATTATTGCTAATAGCAATGGATCAGCAGATTTCTGAAGTGGGCCCCAAGGTCATCTGGGTTAAAAAACATAGAATATGACTTGGGTGGGTTGCAAAAGTGAGAAAAAATTCCAGGTACTTTCCAAAGTTTGCTAGTGTCTGGATTAGAATCTAAGCCCAGTCAGGCACACAGATTGCCCAGCACACATAGCGCCTGATGAGGTCTCCTCAGGGAAAGGTAGTGTTTTTCTATTAAGGATCCCATACCAACAGCAGTCTCTGCAGCAGAGAGAAAGTAATGCTTAGCAACATCTCTACATGTGATCATCAGGACTTCTGGCCATGCAACTTGCCTTTTTTTTGTTGCCCAGCTGTAACTCTTGTTCATTTAGAAGCAGCCACATTATCTAGAAATTTACAGTTTTTAACAACTGGGATTCAGATACCCAGCTGATGTAGCCAGCGTAGGTATTCAATATTTTGGCTTGTGGAGGAATTTGCTTAAGGAAGAATTTGTTTGAGTCTTTCACTCCTGAGAGGCACCCGTCTTTGTTTGCTGGTACTTGGTTACATTTCCCTGATGTGTGCTGAGTAGAGAACTGAAGATTCTTTCCATGTTCTGGGATAATGTTTTCTGAATATCCCGTCTCCTTAGAGAAAGGAGTGTCTGAAAGGTCACTACAACCCCCACCAGGTGCAAAAGGATGAACATGTCAATTCTGCCTGTTTTCCTTTGCCTGGAGAGTATCCCACTCCGTCAGCATGTTAGGCCAGTGCTGTGGCCACTCTCGTTTGATCTTCCCTACCATAGTTTGACACAGAATGTCTTCAATGTGATTCTTCTTTTCCAAAATGCTCAGCGTTCCACTTGTAATCAGCTCCATGGCGCTGGCCTTCAGAGACACCTCCCATGGAGACATACTGTTCCACTGAAACCTGGCAACATGTTCCAGGATCTGAAGGCCAAAGTGACATGGAAATTTGTGTTTTCTCAGCCAACCTCAAGGCACCTTTCTCTAGGCACCTTTCTCTAGACTCTTCACAAAGTTTGAGTGCTTCCTGCTGGAATTACTGGGTGGAGTTTAGTTCCATCATGACTGTCACTGATTTCCCCAGTCCCTCACTCAGTGTGTTTGCTTGCTCCATCTCTGTGGCTAGTTCCAGGAATACTACCATCATCCCAGATGATGAGCACAAGGCATGCACAGTTCCCTTAGGAGGACCACACATGGATACTGGGCCATGGCAGGATGGTAGTTCCTCAACATATTTTACGTGGATAGCTTTCAAGCCAGAATAACAACAAGTATTTATTTCACATATAAACAAGGTTACTTCTTTTGCTTAGCATAAAATCCTACCATTTGAAGGAAGAACTGATGGGCGTCTGTTGAAGAGAGAGAAGGGGACACTGGAAAAGGAGGCTCTCTGGGACTTCCATCCATTGAGAGCTGGAAAGATGGGGACTGCCTAGCTAGTGAGGAGGGGTGGAGTGACCTTTCTACTCAACAGATCAGAGTCAAGTTGGGCAGTGGTGGTGCACACCTTTAACTCCAGCACAGTGGAAGGGAAAACATCTTAGCTTGGCAGATCAATGAAGACAGGAAGACACGGGAAAGACTCCAGATGTAGGAGAAAGAAATACACTCTTGGGATCCCTAAGCACATTAGATGGAGTCAGCCCTCCAGCCCTGATCTTTTACATTTTAAACCATTGGCAA